GTTGTATATCTTGATTCACGATGTCAATCCTTCGCAGCTCGGTGAGGCACAGTGGTGCATCTCGCCGATCTACCGAAGTTGGTTGCAAGAAGAATTATTTGATGCGCGGCGCGACCCAGTAGTGCATCGCGCAACAATTGTATATCTTTTACGGTTTTTGCGGAAAGTCGTATTAAAGTTGATGCCGTGGTGTCAGTAAAATGGCACGGATAAACATATATCGTCTCGCTTTATATATAGTAAGATGGGGTGGAAGTTGAATTTTTCCCTAACTGAGGAGTAAAGCAAACAGTCAATTAAAACGCTCTGCACAGTGTTTGTAGATCGTGTCTCTGAGATGATAGCTGACCACAAAAAAGAAGCCAAGAGCCAAGTCAAAAATCATATCAGAACACGATTCAGATTTGATCTGTTAAGAAGTACACTCATTGCACTGAGGGGAATCAGAGGAAGGTCAACAGCCCAGCATCTTGAACTGCAAGACGTATCCTTCAACCTCATTCCCCAGAAGACGAGCTTTGAGGTCTCCTAGATTTGTTTATGTAAATTTTGTAGATATTTTACTGTACTATTTTATATTGTATACAATTTTACGGACGAAATGATCCCAGGGGGGACTCCCAACCCACCGCTTCGGCGGGTAGTTGATTCACCGATCACAAGCAAGAGCCACTTTGGTCAACTTGCTGTGAGGTGTCTCAGCTAAATGGGTTGGGGGTCCCCCCTTTTTTTTTTTTTTTTTTTTTTTTTTTAAATTAAAACGTAATTTTCGTCCTCAATAGGCTTGAGCCCTTTGCTGAAAAAGACTTGTTTAAATTTTCCATAACTCGAGTAAAACACTAACTTTGAAATAATGCAAGGCACAAAGATAAACGATAATATCGACAAAAATTGAATTTTACGGCAAAACAACGTTCTAACGAGAACGTGCCACCATAATGTTAAAAATAAAAAGTTTTGCTTCAGCGCTCGATTTTTAAAATTTGCAAAGTAAAGCGACCGTGAAACTAAAATATTAAAGTCAAATAATGTGCGGCATACTTTTAAGATAAATCTTCATCGTAAATATCGTAATATTTTTAAAATCTTGACCGAAAATTTTAATCATCATTTCTGATTTCATTGTCATTAATTCTGTACGTTTTAATTACATGTCTTATCTTATTATTTTGTTGACGGATGTTACTCGTCTAAATTTTTTCGAAGTAGCTATAACCTGCGCCGCTTTCTTCTCAAAATGGCCCGGCAAGTGCTACGAAGTAGCGCACGTGCCGGGCCAGACCATTAACAATGGTCAACTTATTTTGCTGAATATAAGTTAACGGGTGATACTTGTAAAATATGCGTTCCATTTACAGGACCATCGACGATTCCAACTCGGCGCGCGTCCTGGTAGGTTGTAAACATACAAAATGTAAGTATATTAAAACATGAAAGTTGTTACCCGGTTTTCTTTGACGGATGTTACTCGTCTAAATTTCTTCGAAGTAGCGCGCGCCGCTTTCTTCTCGAAATGTTAGACGGCACGAGCTACGAAGTAGCGCGCGCCGGGCCAGATCATTAACAATGGTTAAGGTTTTCACGATGTTAATCCTTCGCAGCTCGGTGAGGCCTAGTGGTGCTTCTTGCTGATCTACCGAAGTGGTTGCGAGAAGAATTATTTGATGCGCGGCGCGGCCCAGTAGTTTTTCTTGTTTCTCGCATCTTTACATAACGACAAATCTTTTCATGTTTGTAACTTACCGAGACGCGCGCCGAGTCTAATATGTAATATATTAATTGAAACAAATATTTTACGAGTATTATCGCGCGTTAAAATATAAATACCTAATTTCAATGTTCAGTTGTAGGTTTATGACCAACCAGGACACGCGCCGAGTTGGAACAAATACTTTACGAATATCACCCGTTATATTAAATGTTCAGTAAATGAATTTTGGCGTGACAGATAAAACGTGTTTTGTTCTATTTGTTACTAAATTATTAAGGTTTTATAACATTTTAGCGGGTATAATTTGTTATGTAGGTATTTAAAATTAATCTGTTGGAATGAATTTAAAGTTTTTGATCTTACTATTTATTGTTAATAAAATGCTCATTGTAGTCAGTTATTTTAAGATTTCCATCATCATTATCTATTTTGTATTTGTTTAACATTAAAATTAACCATATTTATTGCCAGAAACATATTTTTGAGATCGTTTAGTAGTATTCGGTTTATTTATTTACAGCGACCAAACTGTCAAGAAGGATAAGTATGACACCCAGGAGTGCAGAAGAGCCGCCTACCAAGAGGAAAACCACCTTCGTGGATGTCACACAAACTATAAGAGTGAATGGGTCAGAGATCCCTGCTCTTAACTCTGAAGGTTGGTATAAGTACCTCGGCATTAAGGTCAGCAGCAGCGGTATGTAAGACCCTCACCGAAATCGACATCCTAGTACGAGAGTATATCAGAAGGTGGCTGAAACTCCCGAAGGACGTCCTAGCAGCAGCCTTCTACACTGACGTTCCTTCGGTGGACTAGGCCTACTTTCTCTACGAACCAGGATCCCTCTACTGAAAAGACAAAGAACTCAATGAAACAAGAAATTCAATGAAACAAGAAATTTAATTTTAGCACATTTTACAGAATAAAAGATGTAAAACAATTCATAAAATATAATGCCCATTTGGTGTTTGACTTTTTGTCCTTGACTGCTTGTTTGGTTTTGGAAGGACAGGTTACTAACGGGGCAAGGAATGCGCGTGCCTGGGAGCTTTTGCACACACCAAAACGCTAGTTCAGTTAAGTTTTTAGAGACAAGGCTCAAATTAGGACTATAAGAAAAATTGTTAGCAGACATTAGGGGTTCTGTTTAAAGTTTTTACTATCTAGGTTGCAGTCTTGTTGTGACAAAAAGTCTACACTAAAACATGTTTGATTTTATATTGTGTAGTTCAAGGATTAAAAATGCACCTTCAAGGTGGATATTGGAGAGCAGGCGAAAGATTATGGCTTAGATTTATCAATGGTTATAATAAGCTATAAATATTTTAAACTATACAATGCTAATTAAAAATTTCTTTATACTTCATTCTCAAATTAAAATTTAAAAATTCAAAAATATACATGCATTTTATTAAAACTTTCTCACACATACTTTACTCACAGGACAAGACTTGGAAAACAGTAGCCTAGGGTAATTTAATTTAGATGTGTGTGACCAGCCAGTTATAATGTTTGGAAAATAATATTTGTGCAGTCAAAGTCTTTTACGGTCCAATCAAGCAGGGCGTGGTTATGTTGATTAGCTAGTAGCGCACGTTTTAGCTTTCCTCGCAAGCACATTACACTAGTAGTAAAATCAGTCATTCTGAACTTTGGGGTTAAAATGTTAAAAATTTTGGTTGATCTAGTGTTGTGATTGTCAGGTGGGTCTGCCTGACAGATTAGAAGGCAGGGTTTCCTTGATGAACATGTGTAACCCTCATGTAAGGATATTGGAGCACGGAATTTCATTATCTTGTAGAGCTCCAGGTAACTGTGGTATGTATATAGATTTTGTATAGCTAGAATATTATTATGCTTGAATATCGGTTTGGTGTGCTCTTTTATGAAGAATTTTTGGTCTAGTTTCTGGTGTCCTATAGGCCTAGTACGTGCACAAGTCTTAAACTTATCAAGGTACGCCAGTCTATCACCAAATAGTACTCTGAGACAGTACTTCTGAGCAGTAAATAATGAGCTTATACGTTGCTTCGCTGCCCCACCCCATACAGATATACAGTAAGAAAGATGTGATTCGAACAGGGTATAATATAATTGTTGGTGTAGAAATTCTGGAAGGGAGCAGCGGAGTCTACATAAAGTGGATGTGGAATGATTTAGAGTTCGCTTAAGAGCTTTGATGTGATCTTCCCATGATAGGTTCTCGTCAATTATAACACCCAGAAATTTTGCGGATGAAACCTTTTTGATTGGAAAGTTGTCTATAGTTAGTACACCTTCAGGGTGTGATAAAATCTCTGATTTAGAACCTGCCATGGTGGGTTTGAAGTGTATGTAGCAGCACTTGGACATGTTTATATGTAACTTATTCGCTCTCATATAAGACTGTAATGATGACAGAAGCTCATTTCCTCGTTCATATGCCTCACGTTTTGTTTTGCCGACAACAAATATATTGGTATCATCAGCAAAGGTAACAAATGACCCGAGTTTAGAACTGTTTGTGATGTCGTTCATATAAAGAAGAAATAGGAGAGGTCCAAGAATTGAACCCTGCGGGACACCAAATTGAATAGATAGGGTATCTGATTTTTCTCCTACAACTTCGGTGTATTGTTGCCTGTTTGTCAAGTAGCTTTTTATGAGGTTATTTGCAACTCCTCTCACTCCACATCCCTCTAATTTTATAAGAAGTGTTGAATGATCGATGGTGTCAAAAGCTTTGCTTAGGTCAATGAATATTCCTAAAACATGATTCTTAAGTTTAAGAGATTTCGTAATTAAATCTACAGAGTAATTAACTGCATGAGATGTAGAGTGAGATTTCCTAAATCCAAACTGTGTCTTCGATATAACTCCCTGGGAGCTAACAAATCCGTATATTCTAGAATATATGAGCTTTTCAAAGATCTTACCGAAGACGGACAGTGTGGAGATAGGACGGTAGTTCTCGATTTCTTCTGGGTTACCTTTCTTATATACAGGTGTTATTTTACCAGTTTTCAGGACATCAGGAAATATACCTTGGGTCATAAGGATATTGAAGTAATTCGACAATACAGGTGCAATTACATGAGATGACTTTTTTACTACAACTGAGAGGATGGCAGAATCCTCAGACCCGATAGTCCGACTATTGGTTCACCAAGAGCCTTCAAAGACTCGCCTGACGATAGGGAAGAAAAGATGCAGGATTTTTGGCAAAAACTACCACACCAAAACTCAACTAGCCAGTATAACTAAGGAAAAGTTCTGGTCAACCTGCGATGGCAAGGGTTTAAGAACGGTAGTACCCACTAACACCAGTAAGTCCAGCTTCAAATTATTGTCAGACAACAGGACCTCTTTGAAGGCGGCCAAATACCTGGGCGCTATCAACGTACGCTGTAACTGCCTCGGTACCCCCCTCAGGAACAACAGAGGTGGGATGAAGCCGGCAATCCACAATTTGTGCGATAAATGTCCAGGCCAAAAGTTTGCATCCCTAGGACACATCAGCCAGATGTGCCCGGCAACTCACGGCCTGCGAGTCAAAAGACATGACAAAGTTGTCACCAAACTCGCAAAGCACTTTAGAGGAAAGGAAAGTACGCTGACAGTCTTGGTTGAGCCCCAGCTCAAATACGGTAATCTGCCAATGCAGAAACCCGACTTAGTGATCAACACCGGCTCCACAGTCGAGATTATCCACGTCCAAATCAAAGCAGACCAGGGCATTGCCCGCGATGAAGACAGTGATGAAACTGTCAAGAAGGACAAATACGATACCCAGGAGTGCAGAAGAGCAGCCTATCAAGCTGTCAGGGTAACACCAGGAAGCCTGCCATGCAACGTGAACGCTTTCACGCTAACCTGGAGAGGCAACCCAGCCCCACACTCGTACAAGTAGGCCAGACGATTGGATTCACATCGATCATGAAATACCTAGTAGCTGACTCTCTGGTCGACACCTGGGGGATGTTCGTTGTTTGGAATTGTACACCATAACAACTCCCGCAAACTACCCACAGCATGTGATCCACGAAACCCACTACTGCATTCCTTGCCCTGTTAGTTACCTTTCTATCCAAAACCAAACTAGCGGTCAAGGACAAAAAGTCATACACCAAATGGGCATTATATTTTATGAATTGTTTTACATCTTTTTACTCTGTAAAATGTGCTAAAATTAAATTTCTTATTTCATTGACTTATGTTATTATATCCTTAGTCTACACAACATACAATTTATCTGCCCAGAGATGCTATGTACCTCATCGACACCTATACTCTATAGCTATAGGAAACCGGCAAGACTATTTATCTCTAATTTATAAATCTGCTATTTTAACTGCACTACCACTTTTCATCCCTCTTTATGTAATTTCTCAGGCTAATGGCAACACCTCTAGCTGTAAGCAATTTGCCCTGGGTTGAGAAATACCGACCAGAAACTCTAGATGACCTCATCTCCCAAAAAGAAATTGTGAGTATTTGTTAACATTCAGTAAATTAGGATACCAATTACCTATATTCTACACAACAAGTTACAAGGGCAGGTCTGTCTCGATGTTGGGATGGCCTGAAGTGCTTATCTCTAACTAAACTAGAAAAATAAACTTGATTATATAATAATTAATTCGGCTGAACCAACATATAACATTGGGGCCGTCAATTACCCTAAGGCACTATACTAGTATACTAGCTGTAGGGTGTTAGTTCTACAAGCCAGAGAGTGTGTATCATCAGCCGAAGCTGTGCCAATTAGCAGCTTGGTGACTGGTTGACTTGAACCCAGAACCTTCCGTATGGGAGGCGGGTTAACAGGGGGGGGGCCGGGGGGGTCATATGGTCAGAATCGTACGTGACGTTGGGTGGGTGGGTCATATTTTCTTCCAAAACGCAGTTAGTACTCTTGTACTAAGTGGTGGGTCTGCTGCTCATTTCCCAGAAAAACAGTTAGTGCATGGTACTTAGGGGTTCATTTTTTGGGTGTCCAACCCCGATAAAACCCATTTTACCTCAAATTTCAATTTTGGGAATGGGTTTTGAGGTTTTTTTGAGTTTTTTTGGTTTTTTTTGTAATTTTAAATTTTTTTTGTAATTTTTTATCTAATTCGACTACATTAAAAACAAAACCCCTACTAAATAGTGGGTATAATTTGCCCATTTCCAATGTTTAATGAGCTGTTTAAAGCAATTTATGGGTGGGTATCTTATTTAGAGTAAAGATACAGTTAAACTGCGAAGGCACAACACCAAACCAACCCTACTCTATCTCCCAAAAACAACCTTCTCCTGGTCAGCCATGTCCCTCATCCTGCACTTGACCCCCGCAGAGGTCACAAGCCCATCGGAGCACAAATGAGCGAAAAACGGGGAAGCCTTAGCTACCGGGCTAAGGACTGCATCACTAGCAGCGAAATACGGATATACCCTCCCTTTTACATGCGTTCAACCGGCACCCGAACCACACGCTGTTTCTTAGACATAACTTCCCACTTACATCAGTGTCTTCTCGCATCAACTGGCATCGGCAAGTGGCGACACTGTGTAGACTCAACCCTGAGCTTGATCAGAATCTTCAGTCACAAACCTGACACCGTTTCGGGGCTTTCATTGCGATACGGTTTTCTGTCAGGTGCCCCAGCAGTCTCTCTTGGACCACCATCTGATCTGACAATCACCCGAGGATACCTGCTAGAGCTCGCGATTTACGACGAGTTAGCTTATGGCACCTCTGGCTGTTAGGTGAAGTCATAAAGCTCAAACAGCTCTCATCTCCCACTCTCTTTTCCTAGACAGCAGATAAATCCATCTTGAACAATGGGCTGCATCCTTCCCACAATCTCTGACCAACTTCTTGAGGGCTCTCCCAGTCAGACCAATCTTCCTTGATGCACACTCCAAACTTGCTGCGACCACACCTCTAGCACCAACCTCAACAGCAAAGCTGAAACATGACCACCCATTAGCTTGTATTTCCGCTTGTAGACTGTTATACCGATCAAGCTTCAGCTCATGGGATGCAGCTATTCTCTCTTCCGACGGTACTGTAAGCTCCCACCAGATTACTCTCTTGGAAGCTTTCGAGAAAAGAACCAAATCTGGTCTTAATCTGGTCGTTGCTATATCCGACGGGAATTTCAGCTGCTCATCCAGGTCTGCTAATACTATCCAATCAGTGGCCCCACTCAGAATCCCAAACTCACTGACTTTCGACCTCTTCACCTCCTTAAACCTCCCTCCTGCTGGAACAAACTCAATGGCTTTCCGAGTGACACAAGAGCTCTTCCTCTTGTTGACTCTCCGCTCACAATGGAATTTCACTTGGTCTGCTATTTGTTTAAGCACCTTATCGTGGCGCCATCGGTATCTCCCTTGACTTAGTGCCACAGGACAACCAGCCAGAATATGCGGCACAGTTCCCAACTTGTCACCACACAGCTTGCACATCCCATCCTCATCCTCGCTCCACTTGGATGCTAAAGCTGGTGTAACAAGCGTGCCATACACAGCACTAAGCAGAAAACCGATTAATGAGTCCCCATACTTGAAGAGCGTGTGCCAGCTCATGTCAGTCCTTGTCACCAGCTCTCTCCAATTACCCCACCTGGACTGCATCTCCAACGTACCCAACTGCACCTCTCTTTCCTTCCTGATGTTCTCCTTAACCCTATCCAACACCTCCCTCTGCTGCTCCTTTTCTGACATCTTCTCCCAGGGCTTCTTCCAATCACCGAAACCAATTCCCGCTCTACTAAGAGGTTGCACCATACCTCGCACTGACTCACACACCAAGTCTCTTTCAGCTTCGTGAAGCTGAGCATCTGCCTTCCAAACTCTCCCAGACCGCACCTGGGGTTGCACCGCTCTGATCAAAGCATCCTGAGATGTTTGATATGACTGCAAGAGACGGTACTTTTCTACTTTCCAAGTGTCGGTTAGGCTGTCGATGGGGAGAGCAACACTGGATGAATGACTAAACAGGCAAGAGCTACTAAGCGTGTGTCCCACTCCTAGCCATTTTCTGAGATGACTGTTAGTTGTTTGCTCCCAGCGAGAAACAGTGCTGATCGGGATATCATAAATGGCAAGTGGCCACTTCATCTTTGGAAGGACCATATACTGATACCCCCAACATTTCTGCAGGCCGGTGAGGGAGCTAAGATCGAGTCTACTGAGGTATGTAACAAGATCCTCGTGTGTTTTCTCGATTATAGCTTTGTCCTTTCCTTCTGCCCGAATCCACCTCCCTAGAAACTTGATTGGTTTCTCAGATACATTCGGGATCACCTCCCCGCTAAGCTGCAACCTCGCCTGACTACCTTCTGAACTCTCTACAACCCACTCCACTGTCACTCCCTTCTGGTAGACTAGTGCCCTAGATTTAGACGACTTAAGCTTGAACCTTGACCACACAACGAACTCCTGATAAACATCAAGCAGGGTTTGCATATCTACCATTTTAGCCGTGGTAAGGCAGCTATCATCCATAAACAGCTTAAGGGGTGGTATAGCTGTTCCATCCTTAATGTACTCGACACTCCTGGGTACCTTCATCTTCAAGTACTCGTCAGAAAGGTTCATGCATAGCACAAACAAGATCACCGAGATGACACAGCCCATAAATATTCCTATCTCGAACTGCTGCCACTCTGATGTCACTGTTTTAGAGGAGAATCTTCCGTAAACCTCCGAGAAGTATTTGATTACGATGTTGATAACTTTCTCGGGGATATGATAGAAGCGGAGTGCTTTCACAATAAGTAAATGTGGAACAGCCCCGTAAGCATTCGCCAAGTCTAACCAGACAACACTGAGATCCTTTCTCCTAACTCTAGCATCTTTGAGCACCTCCCACATAGCTCCAAAGTGCTCTGTACATCCGTGTACACCAGGAACTCCACCCTTCTGCACAGAGAGATCCACATACCCGTTAGCGACAACAAAGTTGGTTAATCTTTTCGCCAACACAGCGAGGTATATCTTCCCCTGAATGTTTCCTAGCGATATAGGCCGTCCTGTGCTGGGTCCAAAATCTCCATCCGCCTTAGGAATGTAGATCCCTTCAAAGTACCTACAGTTGTCTGGGTACTCCTCAGCCTTGTAGCCTCCTCTCAGCACATGCCACAAGTTCTGAGATATTCCTGGACACCTCTTGTACACCGTATTTTCTCAACTTAGTACCGCAAAAGCCAGCAAAAGGGGGTGGGTGTCCTAAATATTATCTGAAAAAGCAGTTAGTACCGTGAAGGGGGCCGGGTAGGTGGGTCCTTTTTGTAAAGTCCAAAACTGCACTTAATCGACGTCACGTACGGCACTTAGTACCTGATCCCCCCGGGGGCAATCGTGTTACCACTACACCACCCAGCTGGCAAAATTTACGTTCTATAGCTGTGTAAATCTTTAACAGAGCTGAAAGGTATAGTTCGATTGAAGATAATAACATAAAATATGTAGATTCGTTCTGATATTCGTGTATAATTTCAGGTTTCAACAATAACGAAGTTTATAAACGAAGAACGATTACCACACCTGCTGTTCTATGGTCCCCCAGGCGTGGGTAAAACAAGCACTATCCTCGCAGTCGCAAGACAGCTTTACAAACCTGGCCAATATAACTCACAAGTTCTAGAGCTCAACGCTTCTGATGATAGAGGTATTGGTATGGTAAGAGAAAATATTCTCTCGTTTGCAAGCACACGTTCCATCTTCAGCTCAGGGTTTAAGCTTGTTATCTTAGATGAAGCGGACTCTATGACAAAAGATGCTCAAAATGCATTAAGAAGAACAATAGAGAAGTTTACGGAGAACACAAGGTTTTGTCTTATCTGCAATTATCTGAACAAAATCATACCAGCCCTTCAGTCCCGTTGTACAAAGTTTAGGTTTGCTCCTCTGAAAATGGAACTGATAAAACCTCGTCTGGACATGGTGATAGAGAAAGAGAAACTGAAAGTTACTGATTGTGGAATGAAGGCTATCACACATCTAAGTGGGGGTGATATGAGAAGAGCTCTCAATATTATGCAATCTACTGCCATGGCATTTAAAGAGATCAGTGAGGAGAATGTGTACATTTGTACAGGGCACCCCCTCAAGGAGGACATCAGGAGTATTATTCAGTGGGTGTTACAGGAGGACTTTAACACTTCTCACGAGAAAATATCTCATCTCAAACAGTTGAAAGGTTTAGCTCTGCAAGATGTTATCACCGAGGTACATTTGCTGGTACAGCGAATTGAGTTTCCTAACAAGATTAAAATTCAGCTGATAGAGAGATTGGCTGAGATAGAATTCAGGTTAAGTACTGGAAGTTCAGAGAAGCTTCAGATGAGCTCAATGATTGCAGCTTTTCAGGCTACCAAGGACCCACTTGTCGAGATGGCTATTACAGTGTAGACACTGGTTCATCTCTTATTTTCTTATGGTCCTCATATTTCGAGAAGATCAGCCGTTAAGTACTAAATTGCTCTTAAATTCTATTTCACAATTGAATTGGATAAAAAGTAATAAAACGTCCTATTTTATCTTATTTATAAATAATTTATTAATACGTTTTACTGTATCAATTTAACTTATTGCGTCTTATTGCCCCATTTTTGCAGTTAAATGATAAAAACTAAAATGACTACCAACAAACTTAATACGCTTGCCAAATTCCAATATCTGCGCAGTGTTTTGTTGTTTTTAATCGACTAGACCCTATACCTTATCGTGATATTTGGCCGAGAACTTCTGTACTGTTTCCACATTCCACATTATCTAAATTATAAAATAGCTCAGTGTTAAATATCTCCTTCGTTCTCATTGTTCTCAGTGGTAACTTAACTGCCAACTTACCAACTATAAAATTCCCTAAGATCCTAACCATGGTCTTTAAAGTAGCATTAATATTATATTCGTACCATCTTATTAAATTTAAAATAATAATCCCTGTACTTCTGTTCTGATCTGACTGGACGATATTTTAGGTTAAAAGGCAATTCTGACAATGTCTACTGCCGAAACAATTGGTTAGTGCTCACATTATAAACAAGCATTACTCTAATTAAATTCTTTGCAGAGCAATATTTTGACTGTTTCTGATTCAATGATTTTAATCACACAATTACTCTAATTAGTTGTAGAACTCCTGTACTCCACTCAAGAACTCATCGTGGCAAATGATCACTTGTGAAGCATTTTGGCAGTTGTACCCCTAATAATTATTAATTAGTAAGCGTTAATTTTGTATTTATTTCAGTGATAGATTCGGATGAGGAACCTCGACCAAAGAAACTGAAGCAAGGTTAGTCCCCCTTTTGTTTCGTTCGCCCTCGTTGCTCATTATTGATTCCACTTAGTGTTGACAACTCCCTTAACGATCTGGTGCTTGTTTGCTATTCAAGTTTATAGTTTTTTAGTTCATCTTCTTATTATGTATAACAATTTTAAAATTCTAGTTTTGTTTCTGAATTTTATTCCATCTTCAGATCGTTCACCACTTGTTGTGTTAAATGGAGAGAATGGTTTGAAAAGAAAACAGTTAACACTAAAAGACATGGTTTCACCAAAACCTAAACAGTCCACACTATCTAACTTCAAAGTGCTCTCCCAATCCTCAAAATCAGCCTCTACTGTCAACAAACTGTCGCCCAAAGATAAAGCAAACAAGCAGCCTATTAACAAGTCTCCAAAAGAAAGTTCTGTAGTCTCCCCTGTCCCTACTAGTGGGGTCTCAACAACTCCTGTCCGGGGCATGAAACGGAAGTCTAACTTCTCGGGAGAAGAAGAAGAGAATCAGGCGACTCCAGGAAAACAAGCAAAAATTCCTGAAGAGGAGAAAGCTCGTGTTGATGAAAGTCCGAAACCACGAAATGTTGCAAAGAGTGTGGTTCCAAAACCTACGTTGGCATCTATGTTGATTCGATCACCCAAACAGCAGAACTCAAAGAAAAAAGATGTTAAGTTGGATAATGAGAAAGAGAAAGATAGTGAGAAAGTAGAATTGAAAGCTAGCCCTGAAGCAGAACAAACTTTAACTTTCAAACCTGTAAAGAAGAAATTTGGAGATTATAAGAGAAAAGAGGCCAAAAACTCCAAGTCAGACAAACAGATTGGGCAAGTTACTGCGCAATCTGATAGTAAGGACGTCTCACCCACAGTTTCTGATCAACCATCTAAAAAAGTAGAAAAGATCAGATCAAAAACAGCTAAACCTGTTGCCAAAGTTGTACCGGAGAAAGTAGCGAGTCCTTCAGGAAAGGCTACAAGCGAAGTTGAGACAAAAGAAAACGTTGAACCGAGCGAAGTTGTTGAAATTAAGACTTCTGAAGTTCAGGTAGACGGAGTAGAGCCCGGACCTTCAGGAATCACTAAACCAGCTGTTAAAAAGGTATTTATAATTTTATAGATACTGTTGAGCTCATTTTATTTTTTACTTGTAGATAACACTTCCTGTGTATAAATGTTAGTAATTAGTACTTCAGGTAAGTAGTAATAAAATGTAGTACTATAAAATGTTGAGAGTTTAGACACGCGGTTACCATATACAGTTAACACACATACATACACACACACACTCAATGAACATGTATTGCAAAGATTGATGTTTTCTTTTCAGCAACGACCGTTGTCCGATAAGCAGAAGAAGCTTCAAGAGGAACGTGAAAAGAAAAAACAGGAACTTGACAATGAAAAAGAGCGGAAGAGATTGGAAAGAGAAAAAGAAAAGGAGGTTCGAGAAGAAGCAAAACGTGCCGAACAAGCAAAAAAAGATGCCGAAAAACAGACTAGGGAAAAGGCGAGAGAAGAGGCTAGACTAAAGAAAGAAGAGGAAAAGAAGCAGAAAGAAGAAGAGAGGAAACAAAAAGAAGAGGAGAAAGAGGTGGAGAGGAAGAAAAAGGAACAGTAAGTTCAAGTTTACACTTAACGACTTGCTTTCAACAAAGTACGCTTCTGTTGCACATGACACCAACTACATTTTAATCCAAAAGGGTCTACTCTAAGCGTATGCTGGAAGACGCGATGAGCAAAATGCAGATTTTTTGTTGTTCTTTGGCGGCAATTTAATATATATAATATATGTCACGCGCGCGAATTCGTAATCTGACATTATCGTTCTGTGTATGACTTTTGTTAAATGTACACCTAACCCAGGCCTGATAGTGCATAATATCCCAAAGTAGAACGATCTGGAATTTAGGGCCTGTTATGTTTTACTTTTTTAGCGCTGTCTCCGACGTCTATTTATGTACGAACTGTAAAGTGTAGAAAAGGCTGCGGAGTGGAAGAGACAAGAGTATAATTGTGATTTATGGTTAATTAACTGTGGGTCACTTGCAGGGAGAAGGAGGAGGAGAAGCGATTGAAAGAAGATGAGCTGGAGAAGAAACGACAGAAGAAGCTGAAAGAGGAGGAGAAATTTAAGAGTTTTTTTGTTGTCAAGAAACCTACCACTGCTTCGACAGCTCCCAAGGTATTTGAAGTCTCCGCGAGGTTTGAAGTTTCAAAGTTTAAAGATGTAAGATGGCCGGTGAATAGTAGAAATAAGTCGTTGCATGTTTTTACAGCAATTGATTTTGAATTTCCTTCAGAATCTTATGAAAATTCTCTCTAATTTTCAGGTTGAAACATTGGAGAAGAAGTTCCGAGATTTCGTGATAACTCCGAACATGCTGCTAGCTCCGATAAATAGAACAGAGCCCGTCACCGGAGACATATTACCTCCTGGGCCTCTACAATGGGACACTAACCTAGCTCATGTACGGAGCGTGGTAAAAGAGATGAGGTCGAAACAAAAGTATGAAACTGATCAACTGAGCTGCGAACTGGAAATATTATCTGTCTCCAACCCCAAAGAGGTTCGTTTATCAAATGATATGATCATTGTAGTGAACTTATACTGATACGATTTTCGATTTGTTTTTCATTACAATATGAGACTAATACCTAATTCCTATGACTTATGAATATTATACAGATAAAAGTGAAGCGCAAGACGTTACATTTCCACGAGAATCACAGACCGGCTTACTTTGGCAGCTGGCGTAAGAAGAGTACTACCATCAGGCCACGACGCCCATTCGGACAGGACAAATCACTACTGGAGTACGACTACGATAGTGATGAAGATTGGGAAGAGGTTTGGGGCTTCAAGAATACTTTCATAACATTGTTATAGTCTGTCTTGAAGTAAATCTTGTGACAAAAATCTGATGATTTGATATCTTTGAAGTTTGAACTGATGAACTTGTCCTTAAATGCTACCTTACTAGGAAGAAGAGGGAGAAGACATATCATCTGAGAAGGAAGATGAGAAGGAGGAGGAAAAAGAGAAAGATAAAGAAAAGGATGAAGATGACGAAGAAGACGGTAACTTATTTATTTTATTACCTAGGCTAGACCAAGTAACTTTTCTCAATTATTTATAATTTAAGATTCATAGGGCAGTGTTGATGTATCTATTCTATACATAGAATCTTTAATTCACCGAGATCTATTGCACAAAAAGTGTAATCGAAGAATATTTACAGATGGTTTCTTTGTTCCCCACGGATATCTGTCTGACGATGAGGGGGATGAGGATTGTGGAATGACAGACGAAGCGAAGAACAAAAGGCTAGAACAGAGAAAACAACAGGTGACATTGAGTGCCTTCTTTACTAAGTTGTTTTTAAATGGTGTGTAATTTACCGATATTTCTTCTTTTTCACTGTACCTAGCTACCATATTGATTGTACATACTGTCAACTATAACAATTAACTAACTCAGTTTGATGAAGAGCAGAAGAGCAAAGAGAGTGGACTACTGAAAGCTCAGATAGTAGGTCCAGCCTGGATAACCGACCCAGTTCCCTCTGACCAGGCCCGCTATCTCTCACAGTTCGCTGCCGTCTGGTCTAATGACATGACTGATAATGAACCTATTGATCCCTTCGCTCGTGTTCAACCAGTCGCTCAAATGAAGACTGATTCTGCTGTTAAAAATGATAAGAAGGAACTCCCTATAGCAGGTAAGCTGATAATAAGACTTACACTTGTCTTATAAAGCGGACAGATCAATTCAGTGGCATGATATCGCTACTTCTAATTGCTACCAGGGTGGCCCGGTATTGCAACTGTATGTCTTGTTCTTTAAAGCAGGATCTAGGTTTGTGACTATATAAATCTCGTACTAAATTCTAGGCTACCCTTTATATTCTATTATTATTATCATTATCGAGTCGATCGTACACACAAAAATGATTATCACCTAATATTTTGGTACCGATACAATTTGTCTTAACACTTTTTGCACTTTGCTATGTCTTTAATTTCATTCAGTTCATCGATTCGATCATCGATTCGTTCAGAAAGTTGTTCGTAGTACTGATACAACTTGGGCATCGTAGGGTCTTCTCTGCCGAGAAGTTTCCTTCCTAGTTGGCCAGATTTCCTTTTGAAAGCTAGATTTGCAAGAATCCTACGTCTTCTGTATAATTCTTTACTCTCAGGATACGGTTTGCTGATAAGATTCCTGCACGGCAGTCCCATCGGAATGTCTCGTGCTGTGGAAAAATTTCAAGAAATGTGGCATTCCGACGAAACGAGGGGGAAAGTTAGCAAGCGCCAACTTTCACAACTTATCCCTACCCTGGTGAAGAAATGTATGAGACCTGGCAATGGGATGAAGGTAAGGCGTGTCCTCAAATCGGGGGAAACGAATCTTTGATGCTTTGTCAGCTATGCAGGATGAGTAAATTGGTTATAATCACTAAATTTGAAGGTTAAATGTCTTCGTATATTTTTGTTGTTGTTTTAGATCTAAATCGGTAACATTGTTTCAGTTATGCTGGTACGCGACTGATGAGGTGCTGACTAAGTATGAACTAAATGATATGGTTGGTTTGCATTGTGAGGCACCGGAACCTCCCAAACCTCAACCTCCTCCTGCTTTATCTCTTCTAAAGTTCACTAAATCCTCTTCTTCAGAACAAGATCTTGGTTAGTAGTGCAAACTTTCTGTTCTGTTAATTGTACACATTATCTCACAGCTCTGTGACGTGTTTGTGAAATTCTGCCGAGTGTAATATTAATAATGACCCTTGCAGCTCAACTGAGACAGCAGCAGTCGCTACTGGAAGCGCTTCAACAAGCAGTGAAGCAACAAAAAGACGCAATTATCCTCCAGCAGCAGCAGCAGCAGCAGCAGCAACAACAAGTGAAGACGGAAATCCCTCGAAATACTCTGAAGAGTTTCATGTCCAGCGCCCCCTCAGCTGCTACTGTGTCTAGTAACTCCAGTGTAGCGAGTAGTACAGTTATCCCAGCGAGACAGAATCAAGCTACTCTACCTCAACAAAAAGGTTTCTAACAGAGGACTTCCAATTTTGACAAAGTTTGATTAAACAACATTTGTGGTGTAAAACAATTTTATTCCAAGTGACCTATTTAATTTTTGGATTAAAATGGAAATAGTTCAAATTCCAAGCAATTGATTTGTTATTTTACTTTTCACTTCTGTATCTTAATTTAAATTTGTTGAATTAAAACATTATTGGACAATTACTATTTCAGTTGCCCCTGCCCCTAGAAGAATAGCATTAGTCCCAATAAAAAACGTGTCGACTACAGTCACTACACCCATCAACATTGATGACAGCAACTAAGCATTGTCAGCGAAGGAACTTATATAACAGATTTTATGGTTATTAGAATTGTGATACATTAATCGAACTTCTTAAAATTTACGATCTTTGTTTTGTACATAATAGGAAAATTAGAAATGAGCAGTTTTAATTTTCAATTTTATAATTTCATTTACTTGGTTATTGGGATCGCTGCTTCTCAATTACATAATTGTTTGGCATGAAAGTTCCGCCAAAATGTTAGCATGGAAGTTAATTTATGTAATCCTACATTATCAATGACTTATAAATTTGATCTAACATTGGTTCAAATATAAATAAATGCGTTTTACTTTTGCTATTTTCTATTATCGCGGTGTATAATACCCGTACCATTATCAAAGTGAAAACAAGTCAAACAACAGCAGTTATCAGTTTGTATTTTGATAAAACAAGCCATATAAAATTTTATTTTCATAGCATTAATAAATGAGCGGCCAGCAAGTACATCTATGAACAAATAATCAACATCCATCTTCAAATTTGACTCTCTCTTTCTTTCTCCTCTGTACTATTAACATCTTTAGAGTTTAGAGTATATCTGACATCGTTAACGTTAAAGCCTTATCATAAGATATACACAAAACGAAATTAAGATATCTCAAAAACATAAAATGTCGGTACAAAAAGCAATATAAATATTTTTTCTTTTAAGATATTCTGTAACACAAAATATGTTAAATCGGCTTACCTATAATAAAACTGATTTAAGGGTAGGTAAAACACTGAATAAACGTTAAACAGCTAATATTGAAACAAGTATATCCATGAAAACAAATATACTTTAATGAAAGTAGATTGCTGATAGCTTTACCAGTCCTTCACAGTTTCATCAAGACCTAAATGCTAAATTGAACATCAACTAGCCCCGGCCAATGGCCATTATCTTTGCCTAAATCTCAGCTCACATTTTCGTGAAACAAATAATCCTATCATCTGACAAGCACCTTAACTGTCCCTAGTATCACACCAGTGTACTTTGTCCTTTAGCTGATAGTTTTGTCATCATTTGTCTTGCGAACTCAGTAGCCGGATCATGGGGCGGCGTTATGACGCGGTCAAGTGTCGGAGAGCACATCATTCTTCGCTGGTCCGGGGTCGGTGACCTGTGTGAGTACTGTTACAATTAGTTTACACCCTCACCGTAAACACCCTGTAACGTGGAGCCATGCTTCTGATTATAACCTAAGCGAGAGTCAAATTTCATGATTTAATCTAAACGGATTAATTGCAACTTACCCGACGGATTACGAATGGAATTAGAGTGACCTACCTTATAATCGGACTGTTTCGCTGCCTTTCTAACATATAATCACTATCACTTCTGTTGTGATGAGACAGCGACCCCTGCGTGGAAGTGAGTGTTCAGAAATTTGAGAAGATGTTCCCTCATCTGTCATATGATACGGAGTATTGTGACCGTAAGTACAGTTAGATCATTCGAAATGACGTTATGAGCGTACCTGTGAACAGTAACTCTGAGGAATCGGCTGCTCCGTTCTTGAACATTCAGATCCATCTCTTTCTGTCCTGGTGGAAGCGTTTTAGTTAGAGGAAGAAATTGAATCAGGGCTGATAATGAAAAATATCAAGTATTAAGTATGTCACATCAATCGTCAAACAAAGTCAAGTGATGTAAAATGTTGAGTAAATTAGTATGAACTTCTATAAATACCTGTCTGGCAATGACTTGTGTCCGCTGTTTGACCTTTCTCTACCGCCCATTTTAAACTTACGAGCCGCGTCCAGTCTCCTCTCGATATCAAGCATCTTTAACTGAAATGACACGGATTCCTTCAGTACCAGAAAATGTAAGGAAGACAAAAGTAATGAACGTGTGCGGAATCTGTAGACAGGGTGCTAATTTCATCTCTAATCTTGGTAGGATCGGTGAATGATAAACAAAAACAGACTGGTTGTCGGCCGGCCGGTGTCTGTCGAAAATATTAGCCGACGCGCGCGTCGATCAGGCCAGGCTATAATTGATATTAGCGCGTATAAGTTGTAATATTTTAACGACCGCGTCCGCGCTCAGGTTGATTGCGAAAGTAGTCACAACGGCGTTTGACAGTGGTAGTGTGTTCCTGTGATACATTTGGAAAGCGTGAAGTTTTATTTACCTGTGCTCTCTGAGCAGCTTGCAGTCGCTCTTTCTTTATGCTCTTGTCAATACCTTTCTCTTTGGACAGTCTAACAGCAGCGCTAATAATCTTACACTGTATCTCATATTCTAACTCTAGTCTGGACACCTGTTAAAAGAGACTAATTAAGAGGAATTTACATACCTAAGGAAGTTACACATGGCCCGTAACTAACGGGATACATTGCACATTACCCCTTGTGAAGTAGAGTTGCTCATAACAATCTGGGACATTAAATAACTAACTACTTCCGCTCCAATGCACCACATTTCCCTCTTGTACATAATTAGATCATCTTACAGGGCAACACAAACGAGTCATTCATTCAAAGTTCCCGACATAAAATTATTGGTCGGTATTTGGCGATCTAAACTGGGATATGTTGTACAGCTATGCTAACTTGTCCACAAATCTTTAGTACAAATGCATTGTATACTTGTGGTACTATAAAATAACAAACAGCTATTCAGGATATGTTACGTAAGCAAAGCCCTAATTGAAAAATTAACAGTCTCGCACATAAACCAAAACATTTCGTTAACCATACATAACAACGAGGAAGGTATTTGAACTATGCAAAGCAATAAATGTAATGACACTTAAAGTCGAAGCAAGGGAAAGTTGAGAATTTACCACGTCAAACTGCATGGTCTCGTTAGCTATTGGGTACGCAGTAGCAACTGTAGGTGCGCTGGAGTTGTCGCACTCCACTGATCCCCTTATCTCCGTTTCTTCACAATCTAATACTGATAACGTTGTCTGAAGTTGAGATTTGCGCTCGATTAGCACTTTGCGCTGTTCGAGCAGCGCTTCCCACAGCTCATCTGCCGCGGCTGAACCAGGTCGCGCTGTACCCAAACCAAAGTTTATACTGTCCTCTGATTTACCTGGGAAATGTCGCAACTCAATAAATCAAGTTTTCGTATTATTCGATACTAAACCAACTCGTTTATTGGCTTCATCCCAGAAGTTTAACTGAGAAGCCAGTAAAACCTACGAGAGCAATGAGCATGGTCTATGTGTTATGAGATGTATGTACGGTACTAATAAGAAGATTAATTATTGCATGTTTGTAGAGAGAAACGACATGCTACACTTACTGTCTGAAAATGTGCTTCTTTCGGGGTATCCTGAGAACATTTTACACGTTATATACCCTATATACAACTTATATACAACTTATATACAACTTGACAAGTTTATATTTTACACCTAATTACGAGTTATTGGAATGTCGCATGTTATGATATTATTATACTACACTGCAACCTGAATACCTTAATAGCAATTATTACATTAAAAGACATATTTGGGTTACTTATACTGTAAATTCTATAAAATGTTGAAGAGAAGTTTTAATAGCTGATAAGTAGTTTTATCACTATCAGGACTGTTTACTTAAACAGTTTAAATTACTTGCACGTGTTTTTATAATAACTCAAATTAACACACGAACCTATAGAATCCAGGCTCATAACACTAGTAGATAACTCCGCCACAATGTCGTTCAGGGATCGGGCACTGTTGCACTTTATTTTAGAACTGTTGTTCACCTGTAAGTACTAAGTGATACTGGTCAAGTTTAGCTAAAAGGTCTGTTAGGGCGTGATAGTGCCAATTCTTATCAAGTTCCAACCTAATTTATAGTTTGAGCAATATGATTCAATAATGGAAATGATGGTATGAAAGCACTGTTTGATTTGAACTAAAATATTCTATGTCACATTAAGTTTGCCGACAGAAGACTTTCAACCGATCTATATTTAGCAAGTTCCAAAAGAGAATATTAATATATTCATGCAGTACAAGGTACATCCTAGAGGAGCAACAATAATGATAGACATTAGAACGTCTAAAATCCTCTGTTAGTGCTATGAGTGTAAATGTGGGAGGTAGAGTGAGGTAGAGTGACGTTAGTAGCAGGACATCCTGAGACCAAATTCTTTATTCTTCTCCTTATTTGGCAGAAATTTGAACTCAAATAAACTGTCTGTAGTGTTAAAGTAAGGATTCAATAACTTTGCAAAGCTTTTATTTTGCGGCTGTGATTTGATAGAGTTAAGTGAAGAAGCACTGAAATAACTTGAAACCTGAAAGCGTCGTTAATTATACTATAATTGGATGAGCCTTAGGGCCGGATAAATAATAAAGGAAGAGAGATTCAATGAGGAGATCTAATTTTACGAAACGCAAAGTGGAGAGATGTGGGTATAAATAAATTATTTTGTGGGGAAAAAGGAATAATTTTTAGTTAATATTTGTATAACGCTCGTTTCTCAGAGATTGATACATTTTTTGATACGTGATAACGATTAACCAATCAGGTTCCAGTATCCACCAATAATGTGAGCAGCTTCAACTACTCAACAATCACCGAAACAAGAAGGACACCTACTTTCTTCTCCAGATAGAACTGATGCTGGTGCACTGCCATCTGCCACATACTCTTAACCAGCTTGTTATTAGGACTGTACCAAGCGTGCATCAGCACTGAACTATACTGTTTGTGCTGCACTGCACTCTGTGTCTTGCTGCCTTGATTTATCTGAGAGTTTAGGGTTATTAAATCGTTAATTCTTTAACTCGGCACAGTTTTCATGAAGACTGAAACGTTTTAACTCTTTTACGATAGCTGTTGATAGAAATGGTAGTTATTGTTCTTAGACCGCGAAATATTAGGCTCAGTCGACAAAGCGATATTTTTATTAGGCTATACCATTAACCATGCCGCATGATAATGTTTAAATGATGAAGCGGGGGGGGGGGGGTGCAGGTATGAAGCCTCTTAATATTTATTACAATGACAACTAGCCAGACTTTATTGTTTAAAAGCTGTACAGTTAGCCTTAATAAAACATGAATGAAAACAAAACTTTAAAAATGTAACAAGATCATCACAGGAGTAAATAGGTATTTGCAGGTGTGAACGTGAGTGGTCACGTGTCTATAAAGATGAGCACCAATGATCGGCCCATATAGCCGCAGTGCTACACTTACTTGGCAATGCTTATGTGAAGCCTTACTCTCGATTATAAATATTTGTCGACCTAGTGTAATGACATGATGTGTTAGACAGGCCGTCTAGAATTTGTAGCGCTGAATGGACAGTGCTCGATCACAATATTACGACACATTGTGATGCTCAAATTTACACCGAAGTGAGCTACAAATGATTTTATTAAGTTACTTCAGAGAAATTACCATACAGTAGTAAATTCAGATGCCTATATGGTGGGAAATTGGCCGAGAAACAAGAGAATTCTGCGAAATACATGCGGTAAATAGAGCACTAGAATGTAGCGTTACAGATTGCGTTACAGATTGACAATGTATAGTCTATTAAACGTTATCGATCCAGGGATCCAAAATAAAAATGTCCTCCCTTTCACTTAAAAACAAAAACTAGCACGTCATGTCAAAGCGCACATTATTTATTCGTGTTCTGCCTCAAATCATAAACCATTGTTATTTCATCACAGAATATGATGAATTACCGAGACAGTTTCAGCTTCGAATAACAAGTCTTTTAAAAGTCATTCGTTGAAAGTCTCGAAATGTGCAAACATACTAGCCTAATTGATCGGAACTACAATGAAAACAAATATTAAATAAAGGACTCAATATCAAAGGAATTATAAAGAAGCAAAACAGAATAGTATAGGTTAGCTACTGTTATGATATTGAGTGTGAGCGAAGTTGCTAATTTTATTATTATGTTCTAAGATGAAGTTAGTTGCTAATGATTTCCGTGTGTATTCTAATTGGAACACCAATTACTTATGCATGCCTTGCATGGTCTCAGATAACAACTTTATTTAACCTCGCTATGGTTAAGTTGTGTTAAAGTTTTAAATTACCTCAATACTAAACTTCTTATCCCTGAAATAAACATTGTCCAGTTCATTCCATTTAAAGAGTTGTATAGGATTGTACGTGTCTTGTAGGGCGTACTGTGCGATACCACGGGGCGACATTCCGATCCACCATGGTACTCCGTTCTTATCTTTTACCTGCGACAAGTTTTCTTGTTCATTATTTGCGCATCTAGTTAAAACAGTTTTTTAAATAATAATTGGTTGGTTTATACTAACATTAACTGCTGAGTAACGTGTACGAACATTTCGTAATTAATTAGGTAATTAACGAATTGTCCACAGCAAGTACCGCACTATCGGTATCTCTACAAGTTGCAAACGGACTAACTACATGCATAATCACAACATAATTGAATAATTAAGCAGAAGGTCAGTGCTAATGACCTGATAAACATGAACCCCATATCCCTTGAGCTCAGTTGCTTTGTTCAGGTAGTTAATAATAGATTTACCCCGACTCCAGCCCTGTAGTATCTTGTAATGGTGCAGAACCTGCAAAGTATTATTGTTTCATTATAATAATAGCATGATATCTACAGTATTTAAATGTATTTTAAAAGTGTACTCAGTAAGTACAATGTGGTATTTGTCACATGCCAGCAAGGAGTGCTCACTTATCATAGTTGTAGAGTAATGGGACGTACAAAGGAGAGACTGCACATTATTTCAATTCTAAACAAATGGAACATACACTATTGAATAGTACAGTGGAGCTGCACCACATAATTATACTCAATACACATTACACATTAGCTATTGTCTTCAATTGTCCGATTCTCTAAACTATTCACAAAATTTACGTCTCCTACCACCAAGAACATGTTATAATCCAAATTAGAAAACTCGTCAAAAACATCCATCACATTTAACCTTTCTGGATCGCCCAAGTAATAAGAAAACCTGACTGTCCTATAACAAGGTCTTAACCGGTGTTCCGTCTTTTGAGATACCTTAATTAAAGTATCTATTACCGGTTGAGTAATTAGCACTTTATGATAGTTACTATTATTCTTGTTCTGCATAAGTTGTTTATTAATCCCAAAATTAGTACTTCTTATTGGAGGCAGGTACGTGATTTGGAAACATGTACGTGGAATTCTATTACAATTATTAACATGATAACTGATAAGGGACCCGTATTAACACTAAGTATACTTCAAAACATTTCATTCGGAATTGCCTTGATGTCGTTACCGTTTCCGATAAGTCAAATCGATTAGGTGAAAAGTGTGAAATACATACATATTACATATTACATAGGCACCACAGTGAACATCTTATTCTTAATATTGATTATTAAATTGAAGCCTTTTCATTGGAGGATGAGTGTTCAAAGGTTTGATCAAAGTTTAACTTTTGTAGATCTATGCAGACTGAACATATTGCTATTATTACATGCCTAATAGGAAAACGTTTACATACAATGTATCGAAGGACAGTGCACAGTGACCTAGAAAGCAGCAAGGTTTTTGTCATTCGGCACAGTGCCCAGCTAGTAACAAAGCCTCTTTAATAAATTCCTTTCAGATTGACTTAGTTCCCAAGAAAATAACCATGTCTTATTATCTCAAATCTACAAATGGTTCGTCAGAAATAAACAAATTATATTATTATTATCAGAAATAAACAAATGAAAATATTAATGATACAAAATTATTTAGAGATGTTATTTTACCAGCAAATTAAGACTGTAAACAGAATATCGTGTTGTATATTAATGCTGTATAGTGTATAATACTCGAATACCAATTTAGCATACATGTTTAGATCAATTTAAATTATATTATATAAATTATTAAGCATTATAAGAGAAAAGATCTTAGTTGATTTTTAGTGAACTAATTTTAGACACGAATAAGAAACTAAAGTGTAACTTTAGTTACACTTTAGTGTTATCTTAGTGTTATCTGTACTATTCAAGTAACTGTTCGTTGTCAAAGGCCTGAATCAAATTTATCGTCTAATCACTATCATCACGACAAAGATATTAGATAAAATATTTAAAAAGATATCGACAATCCTCAAACTATCCTAGTTTCTGGAGATAAGTTGCAAGGTTTACAATTAAATCTTGTACTTTTCAATGGATTCCTGCTGTTTACTGACACGATTACTAGTTCTACACAGTGTATCACAGTAATAACAATTACTTTACAACAAACCTCGAGATAAGAGCTCGAAGGAGCTCCAGGCGAGAGTAGATTGTATTTGGTGAGAGTTTTCATAGCTGCCTCCTCCGTGGTGTAGTCGCCACGGATCTCCTGCAGAGCAAGTGCCGCCAACTTGTACGACAAATCCTTCTCACATTGCAATCTCTCATTGTATACAGCCTCACGTGCCTGATCATCAGTATTCGGTTAATTATATATATGTGACAATATTATGTATTATGTATACTTGTAACATAATCGACATTTGACAGTTAATTGCAATGTTTTTGTTTTTAAATGTAAGATGAACAGAAATCTCTTTGTAAACAACGCTTGTTTAAATCACAAAGTCTCCATGTAATTTGTTATCACCATGTAACTCTATACTCTGAGATATTCTCGTTTAACTTAGACTTAATGAGAAAAAGCTCAACCGGAAGTACAAGACACAATTGTTAAATCGTTAGCAGTACAACGGTCCAGATGAAAATACCTGAAGGTAAAACTGTTCGACAGTTGTTGGGTCATGAAGCCAGCAAATGTTGTCGATATAAAACTTCACAGCAAAATGAATGACAATATTTCCGTTACTTCTGGGCAGATCATGTTCCACCTGGTGTTGTAATGTTAAAATATATGTACTCTTACTGATGCTATTAGAACATATCAACATTCAACAAGTTATCATGACATTACAGTTAAGTAAAATAAAGTAACTTTACAGCACAATATAATTGCAATGAACTTACCAAGCGTTTTTCCAGTGCAATCCATTCTCGATATTTTCCTGGTTCACTTATAAAGCAGAGGCCAAAATACTCTCTTTCTTGAATCCCAAGATAAGAAATAACACAATCAAACAGCTCTTCTGTTAGGGTCTTGTTATTTAACTTGCAAGTGTATTGCCTCCCATCCAAGAGCAGCACTATGTAAGTGTTACTGCTTGAAGCCATCTTGTAACCTTTCAAATGTTTTCAATTTAGATTGAAAATCAACAAATTCATACTTATGATAAATAGTACAGCATTTCGTAATTGAATTTCTATTGAAAGATTGTACCTTAAAAATTATTATTTATCAAATTCTTGTTTTATTAGATATACTACACACACACCACTATACAGTTCAAATTATATTCATTGGTATTAGTAAAATTAACTGTAAATTATTGAAGATATATTGTTGGACATACTCATATAGTTCAAAGATTCAATAGATTTTGGCAAATAGAAGTTTCCCTTATTAAAGTACCCATTTCATCAGGGGCCATTTGCAGAAAAGGAGAGGCTCCTTTTCCGAACAGCAGTCCCAAAAGTCTCAAAAGGCAACTGTTTATCCAGCTACAACTAAACAAAGGGCCTTGGTGGTGCAGCGGTCACTTGAAGAGACATGTGATTGGACCTGTTTTTGCCATCAATCCTGGAGGATGCACTAATGACTCTAATATAAACTCCTTCAGTATAACATACATTAAAGTGAACTGTACAACCAGTGGCATAACGAAGACCCCCACTGAACCCCGCTGTGCACCATCTTAGGGGGGCGCCAAATCGTCATTTGAATGAGGGACAATTTGGAAAAAATTAGCTACGGTACTAGCAAAACTGTGCATTTTGCTCTAGAAACACACTTTTTTAAAGATTTTACCAGCGTTTCCTCTAAAATCATGTAATTTGTTCAATTTTAGGGAGGGCGCCAAAGGAGGAGGGGGCCATGCAACCCATGCAACCCATGCATCTGACCATGCAACCCAAGTGATCAGAAACACCAGTACACTTCGCACAAAGGAGGAATATAGATCAGTTTACATCTGCCCTGATAGGACTGCCACGGAACAAAAAGCTTACAAAAAGCAGAAGTAGAAGAACTGAGACTGAAATGGACTACAGAGCCTAACAAGTTTCATAGTATTAGGAACAATAAGATAGTCAGCTTTGTAGAGAGTATAAGTAGAGGCGGGACTGGCTAAAATTAATATTCCTACTTATCTAAATTGAAACATTATTGTTGGTTTTGATCTTGAAGGGACCATAATTTTTGAGGCCATTACTTGCCGATGATGTCAATGTTTATTTCAGGATTACCACTATTGTGAACTCAATAAGTGGAATTATCACTTTTGTATCCTTCTATCCTTCAAGTATCCTTGTATCCTATCAGGTCCAGTTACTACAAAATGCTGTAGCTAAAGCTGTTCATTGGCAATATAAACATTACCATATTGAGGATGAACTGATCAATCTCTACTGGTTGAATAATGGATATAGAGAAGAGGATTGAATTCAAAATCTTACTGCATCTCACAAATCATTACTAGGATTGACTGCAAGATATCTGCAAGATATGTTCAGATTTATGTTTGGTGTGGGTAGCTTCTCTGTAGTAGCTTCTAAGATGTTCAATCAATTTGCTCAATCTTTGGAATAGTTAAAGCTCTTCTAAAATCTTTATCGAAAAACTATTCAAGTCATATTTGGTAAAAGACCTTCAATTTAAAAAATATAACCACACTGAATATTTTGAAATTGCCACAACCTATTCAAATATTTTAGTTTCTCTTATTCCGTCACATCTCACTATGCATTTCTAACAGAGTAATCGTATAGTATCAATTAAACCAATTCAGTATCAACAAACCACGATAAACTATGTATAAGATAAGAAGTATGTCACAAATAGAGCCGACTTTAGAGGATAAAGAATATGATTAAAAAACGATAGGAAATAGTATGAATGGGTACTCCAAATCAATGAGAATTCATGAAAACATAGTTAGTAATCAAATTACACATCAAAAAGATGACCAAATAGGGTGAAAAGGAGTTTCGAAATGCAACAATAACACTAATAAACTATATGTATTCTTGTGAAAATATGACAGAATTTGCTTTAGCGCTCGATATTCATACCGCGGTGTAAATTTTCGAAAATATGCGCGGCGCACCTAAAATTATGGTTCCATTAAAAATGAATTTGTTGGTCAAAATTACATTTAATATACAATATATCTAAATTATTTTTTATTACAAGATAAATGTTTAAAAATTTAAAAATATCAAAATTAAAGTGCTATGCCATATGCACGCAAAAAAGTTTAAATTTTGACCACTTTTTTAGATTTTTAGCCTGTACCCGGGAAAATAAAAGAATTTGTTTAGTATTTATACCATGTTGTGCGGCTGTGTTTTAACTTGATTGACGATGTCAACCCATCGAGATAAAGCAAGGATGCTAGTTTGCGCGGCGCGTCGAAGCTGCGAAGTCCTCCAATGTTTTAATTATCTCCATGCAAATTTTGCCGACATGCCAACAAAATTAATTTGCTCAAAATATCAAAAAACATGTTTTTTGGCCTATTTTTGGCCCAAAAATCGCTTTATTGCGATTTTACCCGGGGAAACTCATATCAGACAAAAGTCACGTATTGATTGACTGTTTGCTCTACTCCTCAGTTAGGGAAAAATTCAATTTCCATCCCCAAAACATTACTGACCTAGTCGGTTTGCTTTCCAACAAAACTCTAGATCCTACCACACTCACTGCCACAGCAAGAGCAATCCGCATTCAATTCTCTCTGTGAACGAAAATCATACAGCCTATTATAAGAGCCCAGATTTCCACTCAAATACTGGCAAGTGCATAATGCTATAGGACCTTAAAATAAGATTGAACCATACAAACTCGATTTATCTATTTTTCTAAAACTAGCATTATATAACATTTCTAAATTATCCCTACACACTTGTAAATAATTAGAATTGTGTAACTTAAATTATTTCAGAACTACCTACAACTATTGTGTACTCAATAAAGTAATTATCACTTTTGTATCCTTGTATCCTTGTATCAGTTCAATCATCTTGAAACTACTTTTGATGAGTCTTCGCCAAAGTACGCGAAGACTCATAATTATGTGAAAATGTAAAGTTATTTAGCACGCTTGATTTACTAGTAGAGGCTCTTACGGGCATTGTCTGCTCGATACGCTAGGTACCCCAGATATACCTTACTAGACGTATTTTTGACCGTAGAATCAATTAAAAGTGGTTTTGAGATGATTGGACTGAGTTTACGCGGGTAAAATCGCAAAAAACCGATTTTTGGACCAAAAATAGGCCAAAAAACCATGTTTTTTGATATTTTGAGCAAGTAAATTTTGTTGGCATGTCGGCAAAATTTGCATGGCAATAGCTAAAACATAGCCCATAGCCGCACAAGATGATATAAAAATAAAACAAAACGCTCTGTTTTTACGCAGGTAAAAATCCAAAAAAGTGGTAAGAATGTGCCCTTTTTTGCTTAAAGTTTGAATGATTTTTTGCAGTTGTATTAAATCAACCCAACAATAGTCACATCGTGTTTGACTAAAATTTTCCTTTCCGAGAAGTACCCACTTCATATACTTTATAGAAGTTTGAATATTGTCACTCCGCAAGCGTTTTTGCCTAATTTTCGACGCGCACTACGCGCAAAAGCATTTAGTTGTTATCAATGGGCACCCGCGCGTTCATCATAAATTTCAAACAGCCATAACTCAGCGAGATTATGTCCGTTCTAGCTCATATTTTCACACCAAATAGAAAACAATGTGATCGTATTGCTGACATAACATGAATATAATTACTTTATAGGCCTAAGAGTTATAGGCTGTCAAAGTTTAAAACGCGCATTGGAATAGCACGTGACTTATAAGGCTATATTTATATTTCTTAACATATTCTCGATCCTTACACATCATACTATTGTGTCCAATTAATAGTTAGGTCTCTAAACTCATAGCAGAAAACACGTCTTTTTGCCCGTAAGAGCCTCTACTATACTATACATGTAAAAACGAAATTGTTTCCAATTTTGATAAATAAAACACACTAATATCTTACTATATATAGCCTCGGCGGGTAGTTGATACACCCTTCACAAGCAAGAGCCACTTTGGTATACTTGCTGTGAGGTGTATCAGCTACATGGGTTGGGGGTCCCGGGTGTGCGGCTTAGCTTTGGCTGCACACGTCACCTATGACTGCGGATGCCGATGATGATTAATTACTCTACACTCGACTGTCACGTAACTTTTTCAACCCGTTCTCTAGCTGACCCTGAACGACTTTTCGAAACCCTAACCCTCTTATCTGATCTCAACCCTAACCCTAACCCAATCCCTAACAAAAGCATATGCTGAAACCCTAACTCTAACGAGAAATTCGACCAACTTCCTTATACGGTCATATCACGTGATCAAGACAGTTTTTCGCCAATATCTCGGCAGGGGAGCATTTTAACCCTATTATGTCATGGGGGGTGATTTTGAATCAGCGTCCGAAAATACATCGATCCAAACTGATTTCAACTGTCGGGGGCCCTTTTAGAACAATCTCGAAGATCGACTTTAGCACGCTCGTATGACTGCGCTGTTGCTGGTGGACAGGCGCAGTTTTTGTTGTGCAGTAGTGTTGCAAGATAATAAAACCAACTTATTATGTACTAAATGGAATCAAGAATATTATTTACTATATTTTATGATTGATTTTGGACACGAAGGGAAACACACAAATTTGGCCTGGAAACTTCGTTTATTACATCGCTAGAGCCTACAAAAAAGAAATAAATTAGTCAGATAAAATCAATCATAATACTCAGTCAAAGAGATTCAAAAATTTATAAAAAGGTCATGATTAGAGAATATCATGAAAGTCGATCAGAATTTGGAATACGATAAAATTGTTTCACTGATAGCGTGGTAGATAAAATTTATAAGGAAAAATGACGCAAAATTGGCACAAAATTGTTAAAATTAATTAATTACAGATATTGGTAAAAACCACAAAAAAACTATCTTTTAATTTCCATCCTATTTAAACCCCAAACATTAGTTCTAAACTTTGCACAAAATCTAGCCTCTTCCCTATCTAATAGGGAAGGTTTAGTCTTTTTCACAATCCCGAATTTGAAACAGTCAAAACTGAAAGTGTCCTTGTGTACATCGTAACAATGCATTGATAAGGCTGAGTGCTCGTAGAGGGCACGGTCGTCAATGTTGAACTTGTTCCGGTGCCCATTGAGCCTAATGTGGAATGGAGTCAACGTCTGCCCAAAGTAAGTGTCCTCAGATCCCTCAATAGTCCTACACTGCTGGCATTGTGCAACGTAAATAATGTGCTTATCTTTGCACGTGAGGGATTCGTCTAGATTAAGCTCCATGCCGTTGACCATGATCTTAGAGTCACAATTGACCCCAGTTTCAAATATAATCACGTCACTCTGCGCGGATTTGTGATTTGTTTCACTTCTCCCTCCCCTATTATAATATTCATAATATCATAGTATTCGTGAAAAGCTGGTAGCGAGCCATAAACCGGCAAGTTGGGTAAAATCAGCTTTGATTATGACACCATCAGTGATCAGTCAGCTGACCCTAGCATGTAGCATGCATCGTACATGGCTTTTCGTATCAGTCACCACTCACCTCTTTCCGTCGAAACTTCCAATCTTAGCGGATCAACTATGAATTAAGCCAGAGGTATTTAGGTTCCACACCTAGTGGCAGTGCTTTGTGCTAAGGGTGTAAGAATCGAGGCCAGCTGCGACTTCTAGTTCTATCTTCTAAATTGTTGTAGAAAGAAAATAATTACGTTTTGAAGATAAAGTTGAACTAATAGAAGTTCCAGCAATGGATCCTAAGCTGGAATAGAATTAACACTTTCAGAGACAAGGTGACTAAATTTCATAATTACATTTGCACTTTCAATTCAACAATTGCAGCTGTCGACTTTTGATCTAAACTTTTATCTAAATCCTGTAACGCTTTAAAACTAATTTTAGTTATATAGTGAATCAAAGCTGTTGGTAGTTAACTTTCCGCAAAATTGAACGAACTTTTGAGCTTTTAAATGTTACGAATACTTGTCTGCAGTCTAGCAGCACTGACTCTGGTAACGGCGGAAGAAATAGAGTCAGATGAGCACTCTGAGTACAAGTTCAAACTAGGGAGAACAGACAATGACGCCAAATGGAGAGGTCGACTTGAGATTAACAAAGATGGTGGGGAGTGGGGCTCTGTCTGTTATGACAAAGGTTAATAATTTCAACTTCTTCTATTAATATGTACTCGGTTTTAGTAGATATCTGATTATTAGCTGAAATAACAGACCCAGCTGCATTAAACAATGTCAATAGGTTGTTTCAACAGGAATGGGCGATGTCACAGCTAACGTCCTATGCAAGTTCATGGGTTACAAGCGAGCATTTCCAAGTCAGATAACGGACAACGGGTAGGATTATGAATACATTTTTAAGTAAAAATTAATCTGATAGTGCTATTTAATTTTTATTGCAAATATTGTGAATACCATGTAAGTGAATACCATTTAGAACATGAAGACCTCTAATACATATGCTAGTATAACGTAGAGGTTGAATACTTTTTAATTTTTAGGAACGGATACCATCTGCCAATCCACGTGAAGAATGTGAAATGCCCAGAAAGTGCCACTCATTTCCAGAACTGTACTCACAGTGACTGGGGGGAGGCTCAAGGCTGCTATCATTTTGACGACACACAAATCTGGTGCACTAACATAGGTTAGTACAAGACTTTTAGTGCTATCATTTCGAGCTCATTCTATTTGGTACCACTACCAGCCGACAAGTGCAGAGATATCGTATTCTTTACTAAGTGATCTAAATGTTCGTAGAGAATAATTCAATGTACGACTAGGATGAACCGTACATTGCATTTTAAGTTGTAACCCTCAGGAGACGACAATATGTATGACCCAGCTAACTGCGCCGACCAGCACGACTTCTGTCGTAACAAGCACCAGTGTGATGTGGACTACTTTACTGCTCACGCACTCGACTGTCGAAAGTTCTGCAACTTCTGTGGTTTGTCGGAGTTGCTAGTTTTTATTCGTTTTTGATCTGAGATTCGATAAATATGGTAGTTTAATTTTCTATGTTGAACTTTTGGATTATCTTCAACTGAATCAGAATGTTTAACAGGTTGTGTGAACATCAACGATAAGCTGTGTGACAAGTATAAGGACGAGTGCAGTCACGGGGGAGATTGGGGGAAGAGAATGAGGAAATACTACTGTCCTAAAACTTGTGGTACCTGCTCCTAAAGGTTACGAGAACAGTACCCCACCATAAATAGTAAAATTATTTGTTCTTAATTTTTATCCTTAGTCCTTACTTAGTTTTCTTTTTTCAACTAAACATTAAAAGTACGGACGAAACATAATTTCAATCAAATCTCATTTTTGAGTTGTGTGCTGCAATTTGTAGCATGAGAAGTTTGGTACACTTTTCTTGGAAGTTGTGTACAGGCTTTAAAATTTAAATACAAGAAAAACGATTATATACCAGTTATTAGTAGCAAAATTAATCCTAAAAACACGTGCAAAGTTGTCATCTACTCACGATAAAAGTAGTTATAAAATATCACATATTAATATTATACTTTTAAGTCCAAATAAAAAATTAAACTTGTATGATGAAAGATACACTACAAAAGATACACACTAAAACTACATTTCAAAAAATTAAAAACCGGTTTATCATAACAGATAAACCTAAAATTGTTGAATTATTTCAATAAAATATTTTCAATCCGTTCAATTAGTTGATAATTTGCTAAACGTTTCACAGATATACAATTTAACTATTAGTATTAACATAAAAATTAAAACTCATCATACGAGCCAAAAATGTTCTATTAGAAATAATTGGTACTGCATAATTGAGCTAAAATTTGGTGTACAGATTAAAAATAGCCGTTAACTTATTTTGAGATTAATAGAAAAGGTGAGTCATGATGTAAGTTTAAAAACTATGGAAAAGTATAACATGATTAATGGTGATATATACAGGGTGGGCCAAAAGTCAGTGTGCAAACGTTGGGTCTTATACCTCCGCTGAGTTTTATATGTGAGAGCTGTTGCTTTGCAGATGGCATACTGTACTTACTGGTTCAAGGATTCCGTCGTCAAAATTTGAAAATTCGAATATTTTAGACCACGCCCATTCAATATTAAAACACCTATATTGTTTTCTCTGAAAATCCTGAACGCCTAATTTTTTTAGAGACGGTAGATTATCAAATGTTGCATATGATCTGAAAAAATGAGGCAAAACGGATTAGAAATGACGAAGTTAACAAGCATTTTGTGTATCTCGTTAACAAATTGACTGGGTGATTATGTGACACCGTGACACGACACCTTAATTGGGCACCCTTAACAATTCCCATAATGTTTAACGGGGTAGTTAACGGGGTCACCTTATCACGTGATTAGGTAAACCAATCACCTGATCACACGTAATGAACAAGCTTGTTATGCTTCATATCTCGGTCATCTGAGAAGCTAGAACTCTCATTCTTTCAGGGCAAACGTAATTCGAATGGCCAAACACAATTCAATAACATTTAGCTTGATCCGATTATCCAAACTATCAAAAAAATGTGAAAATGAACCTCCATTTGAAAAAAATGAACGCGAATATTTTTCGAGTTGACAAATTCCTCGAACCAGTGGTGGTACTAAGTCATACCAGAAGGAAGTATTTCAATTGGGCACTCAGTGACTGAGCTATTAAGGCCAACGTTTGCACACTGACTTTTGGCCCACCCTGTATATACATAGTGACTAGTCACTTATGGGCCACCCTGTAGTGTATATTGAATCTAGAAGTAATAGATTAGCATAGGCTTACTTGATTAATCTGATCTCAGAGGCAACCTAAGAACAGTAACCTGGATTCTGGAACAATAAAATTGGCGAATCATGTAATTCAGACTTCTTATTATAAGCGTTAGCTGACGTCTGATATGAAATCGAAAAGTCAGTAATGATGGTATCCAGCCACAGTCGCCCCAAGATATTGGATCGTAATTGTGAAAATAGTTTTGAACCTTTTTCACAACTACAATTAAATACATATATTGAGGTGATACTCCCTTGTGGATGACAACTATCAATCTTAAAATTCAGACTTCTCAATACATAGTATTTGGGTCTACAACATTAACTATGTATACTTGTCTACTAAACTGTGTATTTCCTTATAATGGGAATATGAAACCTGGTTAAAAGTTATCAGTGTCTCGAATCATACCTATCATAATCTTCCTCTAACCCCACGCCAACACAGCCAGAAGGAGGTCCTGGAGGCACAGGGGGTGGAACCTGGAGTCTGTTCATAACAACAACTCCGTCCTGGTCATCTCTTCTTCTCCTCAGAAAACAGAAAACTAAGAGTCCAAATCCACACAGTACAGTAGCTAGTATGAGGAAGAGAAGAACAGTGACGAGGATATGTGGGGATTGGGAGACACAGTCATCTGTCTGGCGCTGGTAATTGGTAGAACTATCAGAGCAGGTGGGATCAGTGCACGTGTTTAGTGCCGGGTCCCACAGTGTCGCGCCCTCGCACGTGCAGTATGAGTGATCAGATGAGAAGATGCTGCCTGGAGGACAGGAGGTGCAGGATACACTACCTCTCTTACTGAAAGTGTTACCACTGCACGCTAAACACACTTCGCCCTTCTTATACAGCCCAGCAAAACAATCGCAAGATCCTGATCCGGGACTGGAGGTGGCCCCTTTAGGACACTCGTTACATGTAGTGGAGTTATCAGAACTGTAGCTGTAAGCTGGACACGGTATACAGCTGTCAGATGACCAGTACAGACCTGTAGCGCAGGAGCAGCGGTGTACAGGGCTGGTGATCGGGTCGCTAAAGGCAGGGCACAACACACAGCCATCTGGCGTTGTGTAAGAATTTCCATTACACCCACACTTTATGTAAGTGTAGAAGTGATCACCGTTACACCCAGACTTATCAACATAAATGCAGTAAGTAGTGTTTTTACACTCCAGCTTGTACATCCCAGATTTGTAGTGAGCCCGAAACGGTAGTGTATCCTCCGTGCTGCCAGTGTCAGAAACCTGATGGAAGCCAAGACGCTGACAGATAAACCCAGCTGACTTGTAGTCAGGAAACCATTGTACGGAGTTTTTCTTACGGCAAATGTTCTCACGAGGTCCACCGTTTACACTGACCAGGAGCAGGCCTGCGTGGGACCGCTCCGTATCGCTCTCCCAGATCGAGAACTGCAAATCTCCAAAACCTGGTTATTATTGAAAATTCATCACACAGAATTAATTGAGACTACCGATGGAGAGAAAACTTCTTGAAACTCGCTATCGCCATTCAAAAATACTTCAATATTCAAATTTATACATTTCATGAAATTAGGAAGTAAGACCATATTACCATTTAGTGTATGTACTAAGAGCGCCAACTTGTGGGTGAGATTTTATGTCTCAAAACCCAACTTATTATACACTATTGGAAAGGTCTCATTGAGTAGAGTCATATGGTACCAAATTTTGGGGAAATGGCTGCTTCTAGCGAAAGTTATAGCCCGTCAAAGTCCCAAAATTGTCACTTCAGAAAATTGGGCGGGACATCGTGTTCTTAAATTTTTTGACGAATTTTTTTTACATAATATTGTTAATCACATTTTTTTACACAAGATTTGCTGTATGCCGTAATTTTATTTTCCGATATTTGAATCAAAAATAATTTTTATTTGGATTTCAAAGTACGCGCTACGCCGCGCAGTTAGAAATCGCAATAAGGAGAGTTAACCAAATTTTTTGTTTCGCGATTTTACTCTCATATCAAATATACGTGCTAATGTCGAATTTTCGGTTGCATCTTATTTAGCTGACGTCCATAACATGAAGTTTAAATGATCACACTGTGAAATTGGTTTGAAAGTATAACGCAAATATTATTAGTTCTGGATAGTGATAGTATGTATACATTTGTAGGAAGAATCCAGGGTTTTCCCTATCCAGTATTGTCGACTGTTCCACAAATTTGAAGATATGGTTGAATTTACTGTTGTTAATGTTTATTGCTCTGATGTATGCAATGAAATCATGATGGTTGGTATCTATCTAAAAACATATATACTTTGTAATGCAATTCATTATAGAATAAATGCAATAAGAAATATCAATAACAGTTCTTATCTTACTAGAAAGATTAACTGAAAGCTATACTAGGATAAGCTAAGCACAGTTACAAAGTGTAACACTCTACTCACCATAGTAGAGTTCAGGGTGATCTTGCTAAAGGGGAAAGATTGGTTAGAACAGTTAAGATCCTCCGTAGTCCTTATATTAGGGGTTTACCAATTATCCTCATTCTGAGTGTCACGATCTGAATGCCCTTGCAGAGTTGCTGAGGTGGTGCTGGGATGTTTCTGCTTCTCCTGAAAAGTGTTCATAATCTTGCGTCTCGAAGTTGACGTTGTTTGCCACTTTCTGAAAATAAACTAGTGGGCTGTGATCTTTCCTGACAGCGGCCATGTTAGCCATCTGATGTGAGTTCCAGGGGAATTAAAATTCCTGCATTTATGTTTGTGGAGGAACATCTCAAGTGTGATTTTCCTTTGTCACTGAGTGTGGCCTAATTGGGAGAAAGGGTTCTGGTCCTATGGGGATGTTGTTGGATTGATCATCCCTTGCGAATTCGTCCGCCAGTTCTTTACCGTTACTCCTTCATGTCCTGGAAGATCCAAGTTCTACTTGATGTGAATACCTAGTAAGTTGAGTTGGTCTGAGATGTTCAGAACGAACCTGGAGTTAAAACTGGTGAGGTTGAGTGCTTTAAATGCAGCCTGGGAATCTGAGAGGAATTAATGATTGATGGGGATCCTATGTTATCATTAGTCCGGATACTTTCCATGTGTAATGCAAATAGTGGGTACTATTTTCTCAATGAACCTGAAGGAGGATTGTCTGTCCTGTATTTTTACCATGTAACGTTGAGCTAACAAATTGAATCCAAAGTTTGAGTAATGCATTCGTTAAAATTTTGATGTGCTATTTGCATCCCTGAAGCATTGCATTGTTATTAATCCCTGGTCCGGTTATGCTTTAGTGAGCTATATTGTCCACCAGGGTACTGTAGATCTAAGGGTTCCCCGTGTAATGGGACAGGCTGTGATAAAGCATCTCTGCAGGATGTCCGAGATGAACTTCAGTTAAACAAAAAATTTGTTAGTCGAACTCTGCTGCTATTAGATGATTGTAGAGCGTCCGGTCACACTTCAATGAAGTCTTAACTGAAAAGACCTGAAAAGTGGTTACTTGAGGGAGAAGTG